CAGCAGCATCTCTGTCCTTTGGAGCATGTAGAAGTACAAGGAAAGAATGAACACAGACCAGAATTGCAGATCAAACATAATGTGGGCTGAGGTTGTACTTATTGTAATGGGTTTTCTAACAACAGTGGGTTCTCGGAAATGTCTGAAGTCATTATCATCCCACAATATTTATAGAACAAGTGAAATAAAGCTCTTTGTCGCTTATGATATTAGAGGATAGGTTTCATGTGACATAGGAAACATACACAGAGGGATGCCAGGGGTGGCACCACATGCAGATGAGGTATACTATCCTCTAGTGAGATTGGACAGACCAATGTCTAACCCAGTGCTTGCTGTAGTTCTTGGCACATTTTAAGCAGTCAGTAAAAATTTGTTAAATAAATGGATGACCTGTAAAGATGCTGAGTGGACTGAAATCTCCTCCCTCCATGGAGTTAATCTGTAACGAGTCAAGATGTTTACCTGAGAGTATAATCTATAGAGAGGCGGAAGGATCAATAGCAGTGCTAAATAACACCAAGGATGCTACAGAGACTGCCATTAATATTTTTTCTGTTGCAGAAAGTAAGTTTAGGAATTATTCTGGAATATTCCTTCATAGTTTGGTAAAATATCATGTGTTTTGAAGTCAGACACATCTGGCTCTGCCATCTATTAGCTATCAATCATATATAAGTCACCTAACCTATAATAGAGTTACTTTTCTGTAAAATAGGGTAATGGCACCTACTTCACTATTTTGTTGAAATAATTAAATAAAGTAATATATGAACTGGCCTATCGTGCTGACAGATAGTAGTTTTTCAAATGCTAGATTCTTTCCTACTTTTCTTATTCAATATCTGCTCTGTGCCAGGAACTAAAGTAGAATACAGTGGTAAATAAAATTCACACAAATCCTTCCCTTGCAGAGCTTGTAGTCGAGTGGGACAGCATCAACTGAATAATTATGATAGAAACTCTTGAAAATACTATGGAAGAATAATACAGGAGGAACAGATTTTCAAGTGAGGTGACTTAAACTAGTGTTGGGGATGAAGGTGAGGTCAGAAGAGGCTTCTCTGAAGCAGCAATCTCAGGCTTGCAATACACAAATCTAACAGTTTTTAAGCAAGGGTAGGGGAGGAAGATGGAGACTCTCTCAGGGTCTAGTACGTTTGGTAAAAGCCCAGAGTTTATGGGGCTCAGAGTTTTTAAAATCTTTAAAAATCTTGAATTAAGAGAATATAAATAACACCAGATATTTCTCACAGCTTTATAGTTCTCCTTTCCAAGGTCCGAGTACTAGAGATCACTCCTCTTATTGAGTGACGGGGGTGAGGAGGCACAAATCGCTCAACCCACAACCAAGTTCCTTGGGTATAACCTGATCATGCTTTCTGGGAGAGATATGATCCAATTCCTGTTTTATAGCTGAGATTCTTGACAGTGATGTCATTCAACTATCAGGATTTTTTCCTCACTTGTGACACTGAGAGAAGAGCTTCTTTTATTACAGAGTAGAAGGAGCTCACACACAAAATATACCTTTATTATTTTTCAGAAAATGCATTCTTTTGATCCTTTCCCTTTTGCAGCTGATAGAAATCACCTTTTTGAATGGAACCACCCAGTCTTTGTGGGTTCCTACTCCAGGATCACTAAGAGACATTCTCAAGCCCATCTTTTCAACACTGTCACTTGACAAATGGCCATAAGTCTTGGCTTATGATGTAGGATTTTTGAAGTTTCCTGACAATGCTGTCTGTTCTATCATGTGATTAGGTTCTAAACTCCTGGAGTTTCTAGAAAACTTGTAGAGGCAATTTTTTTAATTGGAGAAAAAGCAGTTATGAGATTATTTTAATCTCACAATACCATAGTCATTTTATATTGATGGAAGGCCAATAATAGATGGTTGCTTTTCTAAGCTACGAGTCAATTTTGTGTGTGTGTGTGTGTGTGTGTGTGTGTGTGTGTGTGTGTGTGTGTGTGTGTGTGTGTGTGTGTGTGTGTGTTACGCAGGCCGCTCACTGTTGTGGCCTCTCCCATTGCGGAGCACAGGCTCCGGACGCGCAGGCTCAGCGGCCATGGCTCACAGGCCTAGCTGCTCCGCGGGATGTGGGATCTTTCCGGACCGGGGCATGAACCCGTGTCCCCTGCAACGGCAGGCGACTCTCAACCACTGCACCACCAGGGAAGCCCACGAGTCAATTTTTTATTACAAGCTAAAGAGAATAAATTGGGTGCAGAGCTGACAATTATCACGACATGAATCCTAGGCAACTAGAAGGAACAGACCATTATCAACAAGTTTCTCAACCAACATTATTTGTATTTTGAATAATTAAACATGAAATTGAAAAAAGATGAGAAAGGAAACAGAATAAAAACTGCAACTACAAAGGTGAATTACATATGAAACAAAATAGTCAACGAAGTAGCCTACCACACAAAGAAAACACCTATGCAAAAAGTTATTTTCCTACAGACAGTCAGTGGTCTGTGGAGCTGTGGGTTCTTGCAATGCAAATTGTGTTCTATAATTATAAGTGTCTGTTATGTTTATGAGTTCACATGGGAAAGATTACATGGGAAAGAAAACATCATTTCTTTCCTTTCAGAATAAGATGCCTAAGACTTCCATTTCCCATGGTCTTGCTAACTGGAGTCTGATACTCAGGTCTGCTAACCACACCTTCCTGGTCCAGGAAAGGCACTGCCAGTTTTGGTTTCTGTGACTTTTAAAATGCTTCTGTGACCTGCCACAATCCTCCTCACTGGCACATTAGTTTTTTTTTTTTTTTTTTTTTTTTTTTT